GGAAGAGATCCATATTTGTACCCATTCCAAAGAAAGGTGATCCCACAAAATGTGGAAATTATAGAACAATATCATTAATATCACACACAAGTAAAATCTTACTGAAGATAATTCAAAAACACTTGCAGCAGTATATTGACAGAGAACTCCAGAGGTACAGGCTGGATTCAGAAAAGGATGTGGAATGAGGGATATCATTGATGATATCAGATGGATCTTGGCTCAAAATAAAGAATACCAGAAAGATGTTTACTTGTGTTTTATTGACTATGGAAAGGCATTTGATTATGCAGATCATAACAAATTGTGGATAACATTGAGAAGAATGGGAATTCCAGAACACTTAATTGTACTCATGAAGAACCTGTATAGACCAGGAGGCTGTCGTTTAAACAGAAGAAGGGTACACTGCATGGCCACTCCTCAGAAGGAAGATTGAGCAATCTACATCTGTAGTGATACTGCCTCGGAAACCCAAGGAGCAGTTGCTGAGTGGGTCTGATTCGATGGCAAACAACAACACAACAACAACAGCATGGTTTAAAATCAGGAAGGGAGTGTGTCAGGGTTGTAGCCTTTCCCCATACTTAATCAATCTGTATGCTGAGCAAATCATCCAAGAAGCTGGACTATATAAAGAAGAACGTGGCATCAGGATTGGAGGAAGAATAATTAACAACTTCCAATACGCTGACAACACAACGCTGCTTGCTGAAAGTGAAGATGACCTAAGCACTTACTGATGAAGACTGAAGAACACAGTCTGCAGTATGGATTACATCTCAATATAAAGAAAACAAAAATCCTCACAAATGGTCCTATAAGCAGCATTACAATAAATTGGAGAAAAGATTGAAATTGTCAGACTTCACATTGCTTGGTTCTATATCGACGCCAACGGAATCTGCAGTCAGGACATCAGACAACGTATAGCACTGGGCAAATCGGCTGCAAAGGACCTCTTTCAAATGCTAAGGAGCAAAGATGTCTCCTTGTGGACTAAGGTGTGCCTGACACAAGCTATGATATATTCAATCACCTCATATGCATGTGAGAGCTGGACATTGACTAAGGAAGATCAAAGAAGAGTTGATGCTTTTGAGCTGTGATGTTGGCAAAGAATGCTGTAAGTACCATGGGCTGGTAAAAGAACTAACAGGTCTGTCCTGGAGGAAGTGCAGCCAGAATGCTCCTTGGAGGCAAGAATGGCCAGATTTGTCTCACCTACTTTGATCATGTTGTCAGAAGGGACCACTCCCTGTCATGCTTGGTAAGGTGGAGGGTCGATGAAAAGAGAGAAAGGCCCTCAACAAGGTGGATTGACACGGTGGTGGCGGCGATGGGCTCAAGTGTAGCAAGAATCAGGGAGCTGGCTCAGGACTGGGCGGTGTTTTGTCCTGTGTGCTTAGTGTCACTATGAGTCGGAAATGACTCGATGGCATTTAACTACAACAACAATAACAAGCTTCTGTAGAGATACCGGGGCACGGAAACCCAAGGAGCGTTGTTTTTTTTTTTTTTTACTAACCTATAGGTTGGTGGTTCAAGCCTATCCAGCAGTGCCAGGGGAGACGAGACGTGGTGATCTGTTTGTGTGATGATGACAAGCCAGAGAAACCCAGAGCAGAGTTCAGCTCTAACACTCGGGGCCACTGTGAGTCACAACCGAGCCAACCACAACTAACAACCTCCCAAGAACCGCAGAGTCGCAAACCTCACGGAACCCCAGGTCCCATGACATCGCAAGTCTCCCGGGGATCACAAACACCACACGTCCCACCAAATCGCAGGAACCACAGAATTGCAAACTGCATGGAGTCACAAGTCTCACTGGATCATAAGGACCACGGAATGACAAGTGCAGGGAACAACGAGGACCACCGGACCCCAAATCTCGAAGGAGCTCAGGTTCCACAGAACTCAAGAGCCATGCCCCCGTCAGCCTCTGATCCAACCCACAGCCAGGACTTGACCATCAACTCGGGACCGTGTACAGCTAGCTCCCAGCCACACACCCCAACTCTGTCCACCCTGGATCCCCTGTGATGCCGGGGCCAGGTGAACTGCTGAGTGCATGGCCCGGCTGCAGCCCAGCCCACAGGGTGCTGATGGCCACTCCAGCCTGGCTGGCAAATGGGGGGTACTTTGCTCTCTCTGAGCCTCAGTGTCCACATTGATGAAATGAGGAACCAGTGACCCTGCTCCCCACCAGGGACAAGAGAGCCGTGGGGAGAAGGGTCACACCCAGGAGGAAAGCAATGGGTCTTATTGTTCTTCCCTCACGTCTGGGTGACCAGGGGAACTCAGGGGAGGAAAGGGCCTGACCTGACCTGAGCACCTGCTGGCGGGGTGGGAGGACTCTTGGCTTCACTGCAACATTGTTTCCATGCTTGCAACCCTCCAGGAAGTGAGGCCAGACACAGGAAGGTACATGCCAGGCTTACTCTAAAAACAAGACCGTTGCCATGGAGTTCCTTACGCCTCACGG